TACATGTCTTGAGACAATTGTTAGCAATGAAACAGGCAGCAGACACGAAAGAGCGCAACTACTTCTTAACAAATACAAACAGGCGAGTATAAAAACAGGCAGATTCAAAGTTTTAGACAAAGCTGTTGTTGGGGCGTAGATAATCTTCGAGGGTGCTTTAGGTTCAAGGCTTTGAGCTGACCTAGCACCTATGCAGGTATTAGGGCATAGATAATCTTCGAGGTTATCTTATGTTCAAAGGCTTCGAGCTGAACTGGTACTTGGTGTTTAATATTTTGATCTGACCTATGGCTTTCTATTCTAGGGTTCTCGACCTGATAGACATCTGGCAAGAAAGTGGAGAGATGAACAATCGAATAATCAAGGGATTACTGGTACCTCAATACATTTATTCAATCCAAAATTCAAAGGTAGTTCTATAGGAATTGGGACAATAAATAATGGAACATTTAATACTGAGTTGCCAAGGAAAAGTGCATTGGAAAAGGTCATAAGTCATTTTATGACTTTTGTTTTCATTTAATCCCATCTTTTGATTTTGCTAATATTTATTGATTTTTTCTCTTCTAGGATGAAAATTCTAATTATGGCAAGAACAGTAATATGGAAGAGGTTAATTATTGATTCAAAACTATTTGGATATTTTATTATTTAATGTTGAGACCTTTTTCTTAAAATATAATAGGATGATAATAAACGAAAAAGAAAACAATCATGTGAAGAAAATGAAGATGAAGAAAATAAGACTTATTTATTTGGGGAAGTAAATGAACAAAGCATTCTTTCTACAATTGATGAAAAATCTTTGAATAACGAAATGATAGTATTGGATGTTTGTACTGGGAATGAGGCAATTGTAGAAGTGATTTAGACAAAGATCATAAAAATTTTAATATTCATATTCAATATATGGGGCATACTGCAACAAAACCAGACAAAGTGAACATTGGTATACCAGAATTTCAGGGATCAGAATTTAGTCATTTGTAATGTTGTCCGATTGATAATAAACAAACGAATTTTCTATAAATAACTAAAATCTATGATGATAATAATAATAATAATAATAATAAATAGGATATTGGTTTTTTTTTGATAACAAATAAGCGTTATTCAACAAAAAATTACAATTCTTGTCTTTCTTGCCTTATTCTGTTTATATAGTTAGATATTTGTCAAATCGATTACACCAAAAAAAAAGCTAATCATTTTCACACAATTTATGATGATTGATCTTTTAAACAATAAAAGATTTCTGCGGTGGTGGCAAAGCATCATTTTCAAAAAAGATTTGTTGGTTTTTCTAAGAAAGGAATTAAATCACCAGGAACAATATAAACAAAAGTCCGTTTTTTTTCTTCCAATTTATCAAAATGGATTGGTCAATTTCTTTAACAACAAAACCAATCAAGTTTCTCAGAACAGATTTTTTTTTCGAATAAAAAAATTGGGAGTAGAAGTGCATGCAGTGTTGCAAATTTCATAGCGAGACAAGACATAGCAAAGCAAGGCAAAATAAAAGCAAATGCACTTATTAAGAAACGAAATATTTGCCACATGACGTAAAATTGGCCAAACAAGGTGAAAAAGTTGATCATGCCAAAAACGAAACACGCCTAAGCACAAAAAGAGACCATAACATGACAAATGTTTAATTTTTTATTGGTGTTAAATATACTGTCATCCTGAGACAATTTTTACTTTTTTTTTTAAGAGATGTGATTGTACTCTGGGATGCCTTTGGGGGCTTCTTTCTTTAGAATTCTTTTTTTGAGAAATTAAAATATCAGAGTCTTTTTGTACCACATTTTGAAATTGATAAATAGTTATATTATGAACTTAATAAAATAATAAAACAATGTTATGAGTATAATTACCGATACAATCAGCATCTTTGTTAATAGATTTCTCATTTTCTCAAAAGAAAAAAGAAATCATTTGGAACCTCAGCCACAAATAATTGTTTTTGGATCAAAAAATCATCAATTCTCATCATTCCTTTAAACACCAATTCATTATTCTTAGACAATAAACCAATTAAAAACTAAATTATCTGGTACAGGCTTGCCAAGGTATTTTTCTCTCCCAAAGATGAAATTAAAGGATTCTAATAAATTGTGTGATAACTTCAGCTCGTCATAATTATGTTTATCTGGATCATCAACATCAGGAGAACCTGCAACTTCTAGCATAATTAATTCATAACCAGAATTATTTATCAAAGCAAAATCTGGACGATTTGTTTCTCTGGTGTCTCGGTTTTCAGTTCTCATTTTTTCTTTCATAGAAGGTGACTGTAAATCCCTACATAAAAAAATGTCATTTTAAAAATATTATAATTTTGACAAAAATATACATATGTTCATAAAATATAATTACCACGATGTGTTTGTTAAGTTTAATGATAAAACCATTGTTAAACGGCCAAAAAACTCTACCACGTATTTTGCTTCATTCATGAAATCAGACTTGAAAAAACCCAACTGAAACTTTAATAAGCTAATTGCATATAAATAATTTGACAGGATTAGTGAATTTTATTTATAATCTATAATTATGCCTAACTTGTATATTAGTAAGTTAACAATAAATAGACAGTTACAAATCTTCAACCATAGAAATTATGAACAACTTTTGACGTTCTGAAAAAGTGTCAATTGAAAATTTATGATTGATTCTAATAATACCCATGTTTTTATCTATTTCTCCAGGCCTTGCAATTGATGAAAATATTAATTAAGCTATTCTGGGAAACCTAGTACAGTACTAATAATAAATAATATTACTTCGTCATCACACTTGTATATTTTTTCGATTTCTTCCAACAAATCAAATTGTATTTTTTCAATATTGTAATCTATCGTGAAAAGCTTCTTCAGAAAAGAGTACTCGCCATCTGATAAGTATTTTCGGTGATGGAATAAGTCAATAATATTATCGTTTATTAATAATCTACTCATGGTCTTGTTTGAGGTATTGATTTTATGCCTCAAGCTCCTAAGTATTGATGATATTAATAGACTTCTTGGTGTTGTATCGAATGACGATATTTGTGATGGTAATGTTGAAAGTGGGATTCTTTTTGTTCCAAAAATAAACATAATTTTAAGCTTGTCAGTCACTGAAAATATAAATTACCATTATTCTCAAATAATTGAAATGAAAATAAGTCAAAGTAGCCGCAATCACCACTATTCTTATGATAAGCACTTGCCTTTTTGCGACAATTTCATCCTCTCTTCTTTTCTTCGGTCTTTCTATATCTTTTCTGGGTATTTTTTTAAAAAAAATGTTATTTGATCGTAACCACCACCATTCTTTTAAAAATAACTAGTGACGACGAGTGGCGGACGATAACCACCACCGCCATACTTAAAACACTTACCCTTTTACTTCTTCACCATCTTTTCCTCGGATTCTTTTCTTGTTGGAGTTCTTGTTGTTACATGGCATTTTTATAAATTTTAAAGCTTGTGATACGATTGACGCGTACACACTAATTATTTATTATTGGTTTATTTGGTAGGACAGACGTGAATTGATTTTTTTTTCTTCTTTCTTGGAAAAACAATTTATTTTTTGACAGAGTCCAAGGTGACAAAACGTGAGCGTTGTTGTTTGGTTTGGTTTGGTCTCCTAAAGAAGAAGTGTTAATAACTAACCAGAGGTACTATTTTTTATTTGCA